TTTGATCAACCAACTGGAGGTTCTGTCTAGGTAAAAATCATGATTTCAGCATAAAAGAAAAGAAGAGGTAAGTTAAAAGTGAACACCTGTTCTTCTAAAATTGCTCTACTGCAGGTACCAGCCCTAGAGAGTTGGCAGATGGTTTTGTGTTTCTAAGCCTGACCTTAGCAGCACTTCATCAATCTTGAGCCAATTGATCCTCAGGAAAGAGGAGACTCTGTCTTCCCAGGGTACCCAAGACATCTTTGATTTAGTTACTACCTGAAGACCAATTAATTAGGCCACACTGATTCTCTCAAGTTTTCCTAACAAAGCTAGGAAACAGTGGGCACAGCCTGGCTGGAGCCGCTTTCTACCAGCTCATTAATTACCCAAGTCATGAATACTCTGAAAAGATAAAGAAGAAAGCAACGTGCTGCACTAGGGAAGTCGAGTAATCTTGAAGGCTGGCAGCTATTCGGTGGTATGATTCCTACAGCCAAGGGGCTCCCCAGATTTAAAAACTTCCACCTACGGAACTGAAACTACCAACTGTTCTTCCCTCGGCATCCTTACTCATTGCTGTCCTGGGGAGCTTGTTACTCTGTAGAGCGTTTGCCCTTGGTCTTCTGGAACTTTTTATTTTTTAAATTTAGGAGGTTTACGTAAGTTATTTTTCTTTTAAAGCCAGATAGGATTGTACTGGGTTTTTATGACATAGAAGTAATTCACAGTCAACTGTCAATTACCCTCTGGTTGGATTATCTGAGGACCTCTCTTACTTTTCTCCCCCACATAGAGCTCTTCTGCCTCTCACTTGCTTCAATTTCTTTCCTAGCCACTCAGACTTTGTTCTTCCAAGCGTTAGGGCTAAACTGAGAAGAGTAGGTGCCAGATCTTGGGGATGTGATGAGAGGTGATTAAGGAGAAGTAATAGGGCTGGGTGCAGTGGTCACACCTGTAATCCCAGCACTTTGGGAGGGCGGATCACAAGGTCAAGAGATCGAGACCATCCTGAGCAACATGGTGAAACCCCAGCTCTACTAAAAATACAAAAAGTAGCTGGGCATAGTGGCATGTGCCTGTAATCTCAGCTACCCAGGAGGCTGACGCTGAGGCAGGAGAATTGCTTGAGCCAGGAAGTCGGAGGTTGCAGTGAGCCGAGATCATGCCATTGCACTCCAGCCTGATGACAGAGTAAGACTCCGTCTCAAAAAACAAAAAAGAAGTAATAGAACAGTATACCCACTTTAAAAGATAAGTTTTCCCCATTAAAAAATAACGAAAAGCTGACTTTTGCTATTAAGAACTTTCTCTCCATAACAGATACTATTTTGGGCACTGCATGTATTAATTTTTTTTTTTTTTTGAGACGAAATCTGGGTCTGTCACCCGGGCTGGAGTGCAGTGGCATGATCTCAGCTCACTGCAACCTCCACCCCCCAGGTTCAAGTGACTCTCCCGCCTCAGCCTCCCGAGCAGCTGGGATTATAGGCATGTGCCACCATGCCTGGCTAACTTTTATATTTTTAGTAGAGATGGGGTTTCACCATGTTGGTCAGGCTGGTCTCGAACTCCTGACCTCATGATCCACCTGCCTCAGTCTCCCAAAGCGTTAAGATTACAGGATTGAGCCACCACGCTAGGCCTGCATGCATTTTTAAAAATTATGAAATATTTTAAATATATACAAAAACAAAGCAAATTACTATACTTACCCTACCCCCTCGACAACCAAGTATCTGTCATGCACTTTCAACATTTATCACCTCATGATTAATTTTATTTCATAGGTGCCCCCAAACTCAGGTGTTCTGTGTGCTCCGTGTTTGGTCTCAATTTCCCACTATTACAACTGCCTTCCTCTTTGCACCTCAGGCTCTCTTTCCCTCTCTTTCACCCCAACCCTGTTTCCTCGGCTAACATGCCCAGAAGGAGGTGACCCAGGTGTGCTGGACTCCTGCCCTCCTGTTCTCCACTCCACTCGGGAGGACTGAGGCTTGAGAACACCTCGAGTGTCACATTCTATTACACTTGATGGGGAAACTCGAGGCGTCCTGGTGGCAGGCAGGACAAAAGGACAGCTGTGCTGGGCGGCCCACAAATTAGGGCATCTTTGGAGGCTGTCCTCCAATTCTCAATTAATTTTTAGGAGAGCTTTAATTACGCCACCAACAGTCCTCACTTGAACAATCACCAGCACTTCAGCTGGGAGGGAAAAGAGCGACTGACTGGATTTGCATAATCATTTACCCTAATTAGAATGTCAAAAGTTGGCGGCAAAGAGGCCTAGTTGTGCTGTGACTTAGGATCATTTTAATTTAGTCCAATTTCCCATTATTACAACTGCCTTCCTCTTTGCACCTCAGGTGCTTTCCCTCTAAATGAGTTGTAGCAAAACCAACATTGAAACAATTAGTAACTTGCTTGTTAGGCTGAACTGAAAAAGTCCGAGGGGTTTCTTTCCTTAATTGGAAATATAATTGTCGTTTCCATCTAAATTTATAATTGCATGGATATTTAGATATAGTACTGGTAACTTACGTAAACACTTAGCTTTGCATTCAGAAGCGTACTCTCTCTCTCTGCGTGTGAGTGCCTGCGTGTGTGGAGGAGGGTGGAATCGTCTTCAGGTTGTACTACAAGAAACAAATCGTGTCTTTGAATAGTCACTTTTATTCCAATGTTTGAACACAAGGATTCGTGTGTAATAATAATAACTGTATAAGATAGACTCATTAATGGAATAATATTCTTTTTAATAATTAGTAAAGCTTCCATGATGAGTCTTTTGGACTACAGGTTTGAAAGTACAAAGGCAGCTGAGAATAAGCAGAACTCCAGATCTCAGGCATAGAACCACCCTGACCCATTAGAGACTGCTTAGGCACGCATCGGTGATTTCTGGGTCTGGCTGGTGAGCTACTTACCCAGGTCCTAGTTAAATCAGGCATCCTCTGTTTTTCCGCCCTCATTCCCTTTTAACAGCAGGAGGCCACCTATTTAATTAGTTGGGGGTGGGAGCATCTGTAATCTCCTGGGGGTGGCTTCAGCCCCAGGGTTGGATAAGAGGGTGAATCTAACGCCGGGCGTGGCTGGCCTCTCCCCTGCAACATATGGGGAACCCACCACGTCTTCAGCCCAAGTTCCAGCAGCAAGCATTAGTGGAGAGGCCTTCCCTGCTGGGAGCACACCCTGCAAAGCCAAGGGCAGGCGGCGTCACTACTAGAGGTCAAGGCAGTTCTTAGACCAAACAGCATCTGGCAAACTGTGCCAATTGGAAATCAATGGCCCTCCCTGGGTGGGTTTAATTTTATGGTTATTTGCACAAACTTACAGCCCCAAATGGGCAGGGCAGAGCTCAGAACATCCTCCCAGGATTGTTGCAATGGTGTCTGATGTCTTCGCAGTGCGTCAGTAAGTTGAATTGAAGAGTCTGTTTACTAGGGGTTAGTGTTGGAGCCTGGCTGTGGTGCTAAGACAGAGTAAGGATGAGGTTACCCAGTATTCTGGAGATTTGATCGTCAGTGTAGACCCCAAATGCCTTACCACATTTTCTCTAGCCTGAGGGAGACATGGAGGTTCCTCTGCATGTAGCAACATTGAATCGTTAACCATTATGTTCAATTATGTTCAATGTGCCAACTCCATTTCAAACAGACCAGTTTTCTTTACATAAGATTGTATAGTAGTTACATAAGATTTTCTCTACATAAGATTTTATAGCAGTTAAGCGGTTATGTACTGTAGTCAGGCAAATCCAGCTTCCACAACTCACCAGCAAAAGGAATGTAGGGCAAGTTTCTTTTCCTTTTTTTTTTTTTTTTTTTTTTTTTTTTTTTCTGAGACAGAGTCTGTCACCAGGCTGGGATACAGGGTGCAATCTCGGATCACCGCAACCATCGCCTCCCAGGTTTAAGCGATTCTCCTGCCTCAGCCTCCCAAGCAGCTGGGATCACAGGCATTGCAGCACCACACCCAGCTAATTTTTGTATTTTTAGTAGAGACGGGGTTTCACCATGTTGACCAGGATGGTCTCAATCTCCTGACCTCGTGATCCACCCGCCTCAGCCTCCTAAAGTGTTGGGACTACAGGCGTGAGCCACCATGCCCAGCCAGGACCAGTTGCTTAACCTCCCTGGACCTCGCTTTCCTCATCTGCAAATGGGTGTAATAATATACTCCCCTCACTGAGCTGTTGAGAGGATGAGGTGGATGATATGTTGAAGGGGCTTAATACGGTACCTGGTACATTAATACACTTTTTAAATAAATCTTGGGTGTTAAAGGAGACAATAATAATAATAATTCCAGCCATAGGGTAGGCATGTTAAAATAGGCAAGAACAGTAGTGTTGAAGTAGTAGCACTAGCTTTAAACCCTTAAATTTTTAACATTTTTAGAATTGAATTCCTTAGTCTTAAAGTTGTATGAAAATTCTTTAACTTGTTTATTTCTCCCTTGCTCTGACTCATTAAACTTTCTTGTTTTTCATCAGAGAGATGAGGATCCAGCCATCATGCTGTATTTTCATTCACCCTGAGATGAATGTTGCTCTGGAAGCACTTCATGACAATTCCCAGGTCCCATCAGAACCAGAACTTGGGGTACCTAGCAACAGCTGCAGCAATGGCTTCTGTCATATTTCTCAGGTGAGAGATGGGTAATCAAGACCAGGAGATGACCCACATGGGAGAAAAGCTTTCATGTAGCTGGGGATGGGGTTGCTTTTTTCAGGGCCAGACATTGATGGAGTGTGGGCTGCCTGCCCGTATGTACCATAAGCTCTCCTCTCTCTCATCAGAGGCAGTTTCATTGCAATGGGCGCCAAAAGAATAGGAGCTCTTGAAGACTCCTGCCTCTGCATGGGGCTGGGTGAGGAGCATGGGAGAGGAAGGGCCAGTTCTACCAGATGAAGAGAGAGCAGTGGCGGTGGGGAGGACTGTGCTACAAACCAGAATCACGGCTTCTGCAAGATGCTTGATTACTTTTTTTTTCCTTCCTAATCTACAGCTTCCGCTGGCATCCATCATTGGGGCAGGATCCCTCTTTCTCTGGTAGGTCCTTCTTTCTCTAGTAGACACAACCTGCAGTGGCTTCTGGCTCACAACTGATCTCCCAGTGACCATGGCGGTGCTCCCTGTTCTATTCTCTGGCCACAGCTAGAGACACCCGTCAAGCTGGCCAGCTACATTCTCTCTTCTGGGTATTTGAAAACTTGACTGAAACAGACAAGTCATTTGGAGCAGAGTTGTCTCATGATAGTGCTCCAGTGCCAAGAGCAATAATTCCCAAGGTGCCAGGTCACCTTCATTTATGTCCTGACAGAGAATTGATGGTTTCAGCCTCATTTGATTTAGTGAGCTACTCCCAGTATCTTTCTCATAAATCCCTTTTTTTGCTTAAATTAACCAAAGAGGCTGCACGTGGTGGCTTACGCCTATAATCCCAGCACTTTGGGAGGCGGAGGCAGAGGTGGGCGGATCACCTGAGGTCAAGAGTTTAAGACAAGCCTGGCCAATATTGTGAAACCTTGTCCCTACTAAAAATACAAAAATTACAGGTGTGGTGGTTCACACCTGTAATCCCAGCTACTCGAGAGGCTGAGGTAGCAGAATTGCTTGAACCCCGGAGGTGGAGGTTGCAGTGAGCTGAGATCACACCATTGTACTCCAGCCTGGGTGACAGAGCAAGACTCCATTTCAAAAAAATAAAAATAATAAAATAAAATAATTAACCAAAGAATGGTTCTTTTTTTTTTCTTCTGAAAGATGCTTGAGTGATACTGTTTCCTAGCAAAAACTTAAAAAATAAAAAAAACGTGAGAGTGAATTTTGTACAGTAGACTTGTGATGTTTGCAAATGGTTTAACCCCAAACCTCCGGATTTTCTAATCTGAAGAATATCATCATAATATAACATTTTCCCCATAAAGGACACCTGAGCAGTAAGGCACACAGTGTAAGTCTGCACGGGGATGCAGGTGCCAGGTGGTTAGCCAGCTGGACCTGTTCTTCTGCTAAGTGATTTGCATCTTTGTCTGGCAACCTGGGATTCAAATTTATGCCTACCCAAGATGACCAAGTGGGCTTCCTCAAGAAGAGGTGACTCTGGAATGCTCATTCTTCAAATGCCAAAGGTCCACTGTATCGGAAAAAAGGCTTCAAGCTCATCTAAGCTGCCCAAACTTACACAGCTAAGTACCTTCCTTTTCTTTATGAACCATAATATTGCCTTCAGTGATGAGCTGGGATATAGTCTTGGCTATGTTACTCCTACAGTGAGGCAGGCCATGGATTTCCCACAGTTATCACTGGGAATGCCTTCTCCCATAATATCCATCATTGTAATTCCTGTTCAGGCACTGATTCAGACTTGGAGGGCTCTGGCCTTGAATTGTCCAAAAGGCTTCATCTGAGGATCTGAATGTGGAGTTCGGTCCATTTATCTGCGATAGCTCTGGAGCTGGGCAAAATTCTGGCTAAGAAATTGAAATCTTAATCCCACCTCCCTCAAACAGGGAGACCTTCTGTATGCTGTCATCAAAGGCTGGGTAACTTTGTAGCTGAGCTGAAGCTAGAAGTCCTTATAAGGTACTTCATTTTCTTCTCTTCTCTGGGCATGGAAGTTATACCCCTACTGTGGCGATTTCACAATCCATCCCCATTTCTGCAGGAGTTAGCATCAGCAGCGTTGTTTTACCTTATGATAACATATCACAGGATCTACCAAAACCTCCTCTAAGCTTCCAAGGGTTTTCATGCTTCCGTGTCGGGAATTAGTAGTTACAACCTTCTCATGGCCTCCCCGTCTTGAGGGCTCCTGCCCCTTACATGTATCTCTCTAAGTTTCCTTTCCTTCCCCACTGACCCCAGCACACATAGTAGGCAACATCAGGACTGGGATCAGTCTAGGAGGGAGCAGCTATCTCCCTCCTATAGTGTCTCCGGGCGGGTTGTGTAATCAGGAAAGAGTTGGGTTAATATCTGGGACCCCAGAGGCAGGCTCTGTGAGGTTCACTGAACTGTAAGGCAGCTACCTCCTTGAGGCCAAGGCACTGATGGTGACCGCCAGCGCCTGAAGCCACACTGCTCCCATTCTGAATTCTGTCTCCATTTCTGAAGCATCACCAAATACAACCTTGAAATGGAAATTTTCTGCAAACTGTTTTTTTTTTTTTTTTTTTTTTTTTTTTCAGTAGCCCACAAGGTGATGATCAACTCATTTGCCCCAATCCCAACACACGATTTTAAAATTTGGGGTAATGGCCGGGCGCAGTGGCTCACACCTGTAATCCTAGAATTTTGGGAAGCTGAATTGGGTGGATCACCTGAGGTCAGGAGTTCGAGACCAGCCTAGCCAACATGGTGAAACCCCGTCTCTACTAAAAATACAAAAATTAGCTGGGCATGGTGGCACATGCCTGTAATCTCAGCTACTTGGGAGGCTGAGGCAGAAGAATCACATGAACCAGGAGGCAGAGGTTGCAGTGAGCCAAGATCGCGCCACTGCACTCCAGCCTGGGTGACAGAGCGAGACTCCATCTCAAATAAATACATAAATAACAATAAATAAATTAATTTAGTATAATGGAGAATTTCAGACAGAGAGAATAGTGCCATATAATGAACCACAGTGTGTCCATAAACAGCTTTGACAATTATTAACTAGTAGGCATCTAGTTTTGTTCCACCAATACCTTCACCTATTTCCCCCTACCCTGAGTTTAATTTAGAGTAAATCCTACATATTACTGTATATAGTTTCATTTATATTTTAGTCTGTATCTCTAAAATATAAGGTCTTAAACAATGTAACCATGATATCTTCATTACATGTAAAATAATAATAATTCTTTTTGTCTGTTTTAGAGACAGGGTCTTGCTGTGTCACCCGGCTTGGGTGCAGTAGAGTGATCACACCTCACTGTAACTTTGACCTCCTGTGTGAAAGCAATCTTCCTGTCTCAGCCTCCCAAGTAGGTGGGACTACAGGTGCATGCCACCTTACCTGGCTAACTTTTAAATTTTTTGTAGAGTTGGGGTCTTGCTATGTTGCCCAGGCTGGTCTTGAACTCCTGGCTTCAAGTGATCCTCCTGCCCCAGCCTACCAAAATGCTGTGATTACAGTTGTGACAGGTATGAGCCATAACGCCCAGCCTAATAATTCTTTTTTTTTTTTTTTTTTTTTGAGATGGAGTCTTGCTCTGTTGCCCAGCCTGAAGTGCAGTGCCATGATCTTGGCTCACTACAACCTCCACCTCCCGAGTTCAAACAATTCTCCTGCCTCAGCATCCTGAGTAGCTGGGTCTACAGGCATGTGCCATCACACTCAGTTAATTTTTGTATTTTTAGTAGAGACAAGTTTTCACTATGTTGGCCAGGCTGGTCTTGAACTCCTGACCTCAGATGATCTTCTTGCCTTGGCCTCCTAAAGTGCTGGGATTACAGGCGTGAGCCACTGCACCCAGCCAATAATTCTTTATTATACCAGCTATTTAATCAGGGCTCAAATTTCCCTGATCTGATTGCCTCAAAAATATTTTGAGAGTTGGCTTATTTGAAGATTCACGCATTGAATTTGGTTGATATGGTTCTAGTCTCTTATTCTAATTCTACAGATTTCCCTGTGTGTGTGTGTGTGTGTGTGTGTGTGTGTGTGTGTGTGTGTGTAATGCAGTATATTTGGTGGAGAAACCAATCAATTTTCTTATTCACATTCTTAATTCTGGATTTTGCTGATTGCCTCCCCATAGTCTCTCTTAACGTAATTCTCTCTCCCCTTAATTTCATGCAAATTAATCATTAGATATGGAGACCTAATAAAATCCAGCTTCCATTTTTTAGTAAGTATACTAGATGCTGTGGTTTTTCCATTGTGAGGCACATGATGTCTGATTCTGTTTTTCTCTTTTAGTGGGTTAACTGAACAACAGTTAGAAGCATTCACATAGCAGAGGCAGGTTATTCACAGACACGTGTATACCACCAGGCCTTGAGCAATGAACAATGAGGTAGGCGAGAGTTTGAGTCTGACCCTGCCGCCACTTCCCTTCTCTCTGTTGGCACTTCCTTCCTTACCTGGGTTCCTGTTTACACAGCCAAATGATAGGCTGGCTGCAGACTGGGTTCAGGGCATGAGTCCCAAAATATTTGAGAAAATAGCAGAAGCAGGAAGATCACTCTCACCTTTTCCCTGTCCTTTCCCCCCGAAGCAGGTCAAATGACTGGTGGGTGAACCACCTGAGGCTGGGAGTTCGAGATCAGCCTGGCCAACATGGTGAAACCCCATCTCTACTAAAAACGCAAAGAAGTTAGCCAGGCTTGGTGGCACATGCCTGTAGTCCCAGCTACTCAGGAGGCCGAGGTGGGAGAATCTCTTGAACCTGGAATGCAGAGGTTGCAGTGAGCCGAGATCGGGCCACTGCACTCCAGCCTGGGAGACAGAGTGAGACTCCATCTCAAAAAAAGAGAGGTGTACCCTTATACCTGGAGGAAAGGAATATCCTTTTTTTGTTATACTTTAAGTTCTGGGGTACACGTGCAGAATGTGCAGGTTTATTACATAGGTATACACGTGCCATGGTGGTTTGCTGCATCCATCAGTCCGTCATCTACATTAGGTATTTCTTCTAATGCTGTCACTCCCCAACCCCCCACCCCCCAACAGGCCCTAATGTGTGATGTTCCCCTGCCTGTGTCCATGCGTTCTCATTGTTCAACTCCTAATTATGAGTGAAAACATGCAGTGTTTGGTTTTCTGTTCTTGTGCTAATTTGCTGAGAATGTTGGTTTCCAGCTTCATCCATGTCCCTGCAAAGGACATGAACTCATCCTTTTTATGGCTGCATAGTATTCCATGGTGTATATGTGTCACATTTTCTTTTTATCCAGTCTATCACTGATGGGCATTGGAATATCCTTTTCTTTGAAGACAATAGGAAGACTCTGAAGAAACAGGCCTTGCAAAGTTCCTCAAGTTTATCATCATTAGATCATACCCCCTTGTGCAATCACACTTCTCCACAACTATCCATTTCATCAAACCTGGCACACAAAAGATGCAGGTTAACCTGTTTCTTCAGGTCTTCATCTCCTTGCGAAGGCTTCCATGTCACATAAAATGTATATTAAATGAATTTGTATGCTTTTCTCTTGTTAATCAGT